TGGATTGAACGGTAACCGAGATGAATCATTTGTTTCCCATGAGAAATGATTATACCAGGATAATTCGTTAGATCTCGCTTTACAAAATCTTTTTAAATCATCAAATGATAGGCCACGTTGTCTTAAATCTCGAAGAAAGTATATTTTTAGTGAATGAATCAATGGTTGTGGCATGTCCATGAAACAAACAATATCGTTTAAAAGTTCATGTTGTTCAATTCTCATGAGATGATAATTAATAGATCGATCTTTATCTTGAAAAACTATATCCCAAAACATCCCAACAAATTCTTTTAAAAACGCTATTGCTGCAATTTGTTTTAATGATTGAACTTCATTGCATATTACTTCTAAAGCTGATTGAAGGTATGGAGCTAATGTAGATAAATTTGTTTTATGAAAATATTCATGTTGGATAATGTCACCGCATAAAGTTGCCATGTCAGAAGTGAGATCATTTATAGATTTATCTATCACATATAATCTCTGAGATATTTGTAAAATATTTGTTTGATTTTGAATAAGTTTGAAAAACACCTCTTTGTAATGCTTCTCCTCGATTTCAAAGATTCTTTTGATGATTATGCTCATTAATGGCAATGGTTTACCAGAAAACAACTGTTTATAAAGTTGAATTCTCACATCAGATTCTACTGGAATTATATCAAGAAAACTTAATATTATGGTTCGTTTAGATATATTTCTTTCTGTATTAGGAATATTGTTTAAAATTTCAAAAACTGCATTTAACATTTCAATGGTGATTATTTGGTTTGAACTTTTTCCAAGAGAAATAATTTGTAAAATGTCTTTCTTTCGAATCGATCCGATGCTAAGCAAATCATTATAAAATATTAATGCCTGGAGAGATGTTGAATCAGCAGATATCTTTTTACCAAGCATAATAATTTTATTGGCATCGTGTTTCCATCTTTCGGTTTCTTCTCCACTTTTAATTCTATCCAACATTATTGCCACAGCATTTTTGATAATTTCTGATATATCACTAATATCACTATCTGTAATATAGTTTAGTTGTGGACATATTTTAATAATTTGTGATTCTGCTATGACAGAGGTTCCATGTAACCACCAATATGCATGCAATGCAACAGGATCCAACACTTTTATTTCTCCAAGCCTTCGTTTAAAGATTAATTCTAGTTGTTCAGGATCTTCATTACCAGGCTCACTATAGGCAATAACTGAAACAAAATCTTTGAAATACAATTCTGGTACTCTAGTTATAGGTGCTGTCTCTAATAGCGGATTGATTGAGCGGATTTTTTTAGTTAATTCTTTAAGATAATCTTCATGTGCATCCTCATCAAGTTCACCAGTTGTGAGATCAACATTTTGAGGATTTTGCGTTAATATACTAATTTCTTCATGATAGAGTGGTTTAAAATTGTCAATCTGTTTCATAAAATAATATGAAAATGGGAATTTCAAATCGTAAATTCCTGGTGGCATACTATAAAAATCTGGTGATGGTTCTGGAACTTTTTCGAGATCTATGATGTTTTTGTTATTGAACATGCTGAACCAAAAATCAAGAAGAAAATTATCATCGTCTACAACATCAATGTCTGGGTTATCAATCGCAAAAAATGTTCTGGTTGCAGCGTGTTGTTCAAGAGCGCAAAGAATCTTTGCGATTGGTGTCCTGACAAGTCCTCTGATATGTGTTATTAATGCCACAGATAAAGATGGATAAATATATAATAGTTTCTTGTTAGATGCCACATTATATTGCCAATTTGCTGAGGCTTTTGCTTGTAACCATGACCGCGTGTATGTTTTCATACATTCCAACAATTTTGGATGCTTATGTATATTTGCACTCAAAATTCTGAATACAAAGTGCAAAGGTTAGACATCTGATTAGTATATAATTTAAACAATTTACATATATTATATATCTAGTTCGATTATAAAACTTACTTTATATGTTCAATAGATCTCATACTTGAAGGATATTTCATGCACAATAAGCACCATAGCAATTCTTGATTTAAAATACTTTCAAACAAATAAGTCGTATTTATGACGTCTTCAATACTTTTATCCATAAGCTCAGAAAGTGATTTTTCTTGTTCCGCAAGAGTTTCAATTGTGACTTGATCCCATCCGCACATAAAATTGAATGATGCGGAAGAATTTTCTTGTTCCCTATGAATATGCATAATGATACATGCATGCTTAGTCTTCCAAGTAAGTTCAGGTCTTTTCTCTTGTTTCATCAAATATTCATTTTTAAGTTGTTCAATCAAGAATTTTGCTAATTTGATACATCCAGCATTTACAACTGTGACGTCGCATTGAAGGATAAGCATTTCATCAGTGGATTCTAACCAGAAATCTTTTATTCTATTTTGAAGCTGAGATTCGGTTTTAAAGGTCGATAATTTATCAACTTGACAATTGACAATTCCATCTAAACATGCTTTAACGTCAGTATTTATGTTGGAAAAAGTGTTAATGATAATTTGAATTCCACGTGAACTATTAGATTTGTTCAACGCAGCTTTAATATAATCAACAATGCTATCATGATTTTGATGTTCGAAATAGATTTTTTTCCAATAACTTTTCTCTTCATCATCTAACTCTGATTTTTCAGCTCTGATAATACCATCACTTGAAGCAATAGCCACCAGCTTTTCTTTACATTTCATCAAGATATCTTGGTCATCACTATTTGGATAATTTTTCTTGGTATCAATGACCAGACTTTGAACAGTTTCATCAGGATCGAATCCAATAAATAAATCTTTTTGTTTAAAATCTTCATTTAGTTTTGATTGATTGTCTTGTGTTCCAAAAATCTTTGACATTTGTTCTACCCATGTTAGTAATTGCTCAACTATTTGATATTCAGTTGTGGTCAAAGTATCTTTAATTGTCATCTTTTGTTTTTCGAAACGATTTAAAAGTGGAGGATCGGCTGTCTTTAATTTTGTTTCATCGAGAACAAGAATACATCGAAATGCCTCGTGAACGTAACTATTCGCATATTAACATTTTTGAGTAAATATGTAATTGCAGCTTATTATTACTTATTAATATTTATAATTATACTTACAGCATAGGATTTGCATAAGCACCAAGAGCCACTCTAGTATAATATTTTGGATTGTCTGCACTACCTGCAACGATATAATTCTGATTCCATAAATCATAAAGACTTCCATAAATAATTTCTAAATCAGTAAGAATCAACGGTCTTCCCGTTTCAACGCACATCTACAGGATCATTAAAAAAATTTTGATGTTGTGAAAAATATTTAAATATACACATATAATTTATATTAACAAAACATACCATGATCCTACTTAATACACTATATGCATAATCATCCTGATCATCAGGAAATTGAGATCCCATAATAACAACCGGATCCAAATTTCTATTCCTCAATTTGTATGTTAACCAATTTACTATAGAATCACTTTTACCGATAACCATCAAGTGCCTTGCATCCTTGTCATCAAGATTTGCATTTATTAAATCTTCTATTGGTAATGGCATATATTCCCATTCACGTTGTTGGTTAAAGTTTCTGAGCACTTGTGCAAAATATTTTTCACATAACTCTTGAGTTTTATCAGTACCACCAAAATTGCGGGTCAGAGCTTTTTGGATATTTTTTGGTGTGAGTTCAGTTTTTGAAAGGGATTTTACAAGAGCATAATAGTCACGTAGGCCATGGAAATTTGCGAATTCTTGACCAGTTTGTTCATAGGTCGAATATGCATCGGCAAGTGGTTCCAGGGAAACTCTTGTTATGTTAGTTTGAATTTCATTTGTTTCATTTGTTTCAATCCTGGGACTTAATAGGCGGACTGCAGTATCAACTAGATCATTACGACCGAATTTAGGCCTATTTTATTATTATCAAAGAAACTTAATATATTAAAAAAAAAAAAACTATATAAAATAAATAAATAATAAAATCAACCTTTGAACCAACAAAGCTCTGCTACTTTTACTGTTATCCAATCTCCAATTAGATATCCCGATCACTGAAACAGTTTGACTATCGGACCCATAAGGTGGTTCA